TTGGAGGTCTTCTAGTCCAACCCCCTGCCTAGGCAGGAAGCCCTACATTGCTACAGACAAATGGTTATCCAACATCTTTTTCAACAAAAAAAAAAAAAACTTCCAGGTTTGGAGCATTCACAACTTCTGGAGGCAAGTTGTTCCAACAATTAATTGTTCTAACTGTCAGGAAATTTCTCCTTGGTTCTAAGTTGCTTCTCTCCTTGATTAGTTTCTACCCATTGCTTCTTGTCCTGCCCTCTGGTGCTTTGGAGAATAGCTTGACTCCCCCTTCTTTGTGGTAGCTCCTCAAATATTGGAAGACTGCTATCATGTCTCCTCTAATCCTTCTTTTCATTCAGTTAGATAGCAACCATTCTTCATATGTTTTAGTCTCCAGTCCTCTAATCATCTCCGTTGCTCTTCTCTGCACTCTTTCTAGAGTCTCAACATCTTTTTTACATCGTGGCAACCAAAACTGAGTGCAGTATTCCAAGTGTGGCCTTACCAAAAATGGTTTTGTTTTTTCATTTTTAATCATAATATATTTTCTGAATTACAAGGTGTCCCGAATCATTGACTGAGATGAGTGGCCATAGAAAAGGAACAAACAAATCCTTGTTTGGAGAATGAACTAATCAAAGATTTAAAAGATTGCTATCTTTTTTGATAGCAATCACTTGAATCTTATATATAAACCATCACTGGTGGTTTTAATTATAGCTCTGGAGTTTAAGATGTGGGAAAGTAGATTTCAGTGGAAAACTGGTGGAAAACTTCCTAACAGGGTGACCAATTGTTCACAGAATAACTTGCTGGAAAGCTATCAATACTATCTATTAACTTAGTAATTGAGGAGTGTAATATTATGCAATTCATTTTGTTAGTTGTTAGTATATTAGTGTATTTATTTGGTTCACTGTTCTTGTTCTTTTTCATTTTGCTGGATATTAACTGAATAAATATTATTGACTGAGTATCATTTGAGATTAGAGTTTAATTAGATCCCTGCCCAGAGCAGAGGTAGAATCCATTGAGATTAAACAGCCTTTCCCAACCATCATTTTTTTAATTGCATCATTGTTGTAATTGCATTTTTCGCAACTGAAGAATTGCAGTTGCGAAAAATGCTACTATATCATAATGTTTAGAACTTCAATTGCCTGCTGTGCAGAATTCAATTTTCTCATTTTTTCATCTTTGGCATGTTTCCCTGTTTAAAAGCTGTCTCAAACAGGTAACCTGAAATAGGGTGAAAAAGGGACAGACTGCTTCTATTTTCCCCTCTAGTTTTTACTCACAGTAGAGTGAGACAGAAACCACAGTTCAGGGGCTCTAACTAGGAATTACCCATTTTAAATAGTGCTATAAAAATAAAACACTGCATATAATATTGTAGCACAAAATGTTATTTTTGCCGTTTTGTTGCAACAAAGTAAATAGGTATTGAATCACTGAAAGTCCTTTAGCTATTCACTGAATTAGCTGAAAATGGTGCTTAAATTCAAATTAAACCAGAGTTTTCTATAGGAAATGAGCAGTTTCTGCAAGCTAAACTAGCTGAATGAAAGAAATGCATCCCTGCGACTGTTTCTGGTAGGAAAATTAAACATCTAAAACCGGAGGCGTTTCTGCCTTTCAAAGAAGAGTTTGCAATAGGAAATCTCCACCTTCTTACAACTCAGCCTAAAATCTGCTACAGACTCTCACCGAACTTTATAATGTTAAACTTGGTTTCTGCAGCTCAAACAAGTGGTGTTTGTGGGGGGGGGGGGGGCCCCACCCCTCTGGCCACTTTAAGCAAAACTTCACAGTTTCTGTAATTTAAGGAAGCAGTTGTGTCTGAAAATCCCAGCTTTCTGCTCCCCCCACCTCCAAAAAACCCCCAGCATTTTAGGCACACAGGACCAGTTTTTCCAATCCACAAGCAACACCCTGGAATGCTTGAAATTTATAGCTGACTGAGAACACCTCTCATCTCTATATACCAACCAGGGGAGAGCTGGGATGGTACTAACTCCGTCCTAAGGATTTACAGCTGTAGAGAATTGATCTTTCCCTCTTAGAGGCAGAGTTCCTTGTGCTCTTTAAGCTGATTTGTTTGGAAGGCTGAGTAAAGGGAGAGTATATTCGGAGTAAGCTACTTTCTCCTTTTGGGGAGCAAAGGACTGGAAGATGGAATCGTGAAGCCCCTCCTCTCTGTAATTTTTTCTCTCTCTCCCATCAGGGTAAATGCTCCCAAATTGCATTTTTTTAAATTTACAAAACTTCATGAAACTTGGCTGTGGGTGATTTTTCTAGTTGCTGCAGAAAATTAGGACTGGCTGTTAAAAATCCTTCTATCTCCAGAAGACTAATTTGAAAGTTATACTCTGTTTGTGCTATGATACTTATTTATACATCTTTCTGTTAGTTATCTTAAAATATATTTTTCAAATGCTGGCAAACAAGCAGTTTGTTTTCAGGCAGATTACTTCCTGGCCTTCTTATTGAAAAACATCGTGCAACTTTAAAAAAAACCAGTTTTTCTTTAATTGCTATGAGAAAGAAAGAAAGAAAAAAAGAGGTACAGAACAAGAAAGGAGATAGAGAAAAAGGAAAGGAGATGGAAGGAAGAAAAGAAGCAGAAAGAAAAAGAAAGAAAGAAAGAAAGAAAGAAAGAAAGAAAGAAAGAAAGAAA